GTCTAGACTGTAGCCCACCAGGCTCCTCCATCCATGGGATTCTCAGGCAAGAATACTGGAGTGGGTTGCCATGCCCTCCTCCAGGGGATCTTCCCGACCCAGGGATCGAACCCGTGTCTCTTATGTCTTCTGCATTGGCAGGAGCTTCTTTACCACTAGCGCCACCTGGGAAGTCCCAGTTTGGGTTTTTTTTTTTTAAACAATACATGTCAACTAATAAAATGGAATTGGGGCAGGGAGGGATTGCATTTCCCTCATTTGGGGGTTCAAAGTTAGCTTTCTCTGTCATCAAATTAGTTGCAAATGTTCATTTGTGGGAGAAAACAAAAACAAAAACCTTTAGTTTACAGGCTGTAAAAAAGAAAAAAATAAATAAATAAAGGACCAGATTTGGGTCACTGGCCATGGTTTACTGGCACCTGACCTAAATCATTCATGGGTGCATCATAGATTTTTAACAAATACCTGTTTCCTTCTCCCTGAAGTAAGCTGACTGGATCCTACTTAACAGAATGACAGCCCTTTAAAAGGAATGATGGTTTCAAAAACCTTCTAAGACTTTCTTCTTAGTCATCAAATCTCACACCTGGCTCCAACTGTCCATTACAGTGGAAGCAGCAGGTCTGTTAAAAAATCTGTGCCTCAGTTTTTCTCTTCTGTAAAATGGTGATAAATACTTCTTTATGTTTTATAATCCAGTCAGGCTAATAGTGGGAAGTGGGGATAGTGTTAGAATAGAGAGAGAAGGAAAAAAACTGTATTTAAAAAAATCAGTCATGAAATCATTTGCAATATATATATGTGATAAAAGCCCTATATCTAGGCTTTGTAAAGAACTCTCGGGGGATTGGCTGTGGGTGGTGTTGCAGATAAGCTCCTTTGTGGCGACATCAGGAGACTTTGACATGATGTTTCATGCCATCGTGTGGGTACAGCCATCAAGAGGCCAGAAGGCAGAATTTCCGCTGACTATGAATCTGTGAATAAGTGCACGGAAGGTGTTTGTAAAATATATGAAGAGCATCTGAAACAGCCCCTCTATCCCATATGGTATTAGTCAGTTGTTTGATTTTGTTGGTGACCTGGCAGACCTCAGTTGCCTTAATTTACCGAGCTGATACCCAGACATAACAGCCTTATAACAAAGACTGGATCAAAGAGATCTACCTGCTCCTTTGTGGACAAGCCCAACAGTCTGGGAAATAGTTTGAATATGGAAGCATTAGCGGGATGGGGGTGGGCTTGGAACACAGGTGTGTGCAGCATGCTGTAGTGGAAGTTTTGTATTATAGTCAATTTGTTTCCTAGGGCTTCCCAAATGGCACTAGTGGTAAAGAACCTGCCCACCAATGCAGGAGACACAAGAGACATGGGTTCAATCCTTGGGTTAGGAAGATTTCCATGGAGGAGGGCATGGTAACCCACTGCAGTATTCTTGCCTGGAGATTTCCACGGACAGGATAGCCTGGCCGGTTACAGCCTGTAGGGTCACAAAAAGTTGGACACAACTGAAGCGACTTAGCACACATGCAATCCTGTTTCAATTTTGGTAAACCTTAGCCAGGATTGAATTTATTAGATAAAATGTGATGAACTTGTTCAATCTGAAACCACCTTTCCCCCCTCCCCCCTTCATTTTCTTAAACATTTTTATGATGATTTAGATGGAAATTGGCTTTTGTCTGCTAATGTTGGTTCCAGTCCCTCAAACTGTTCATACTTGCTTTATAACATTCACTGTATTAACCCTTCTTCAAATTGAGGTGAGGATGGTGGCACAGTTTAGTTATGTCCTCCAGATAAAGACTTAGTAAAAAACAAATATTCTTTAGTTATAAAAAAAAAGAGAGAACTCTCAAAACAATAAAAAGAAAAGAATT